GCCTGAGGCCAATGAATTAATGAAATCGTTAATCCAGTTTTCCGAATTCATCAAATTCCAAGGGTTGTTTTCAAGGAGGCTTTATTAAACACATGAAATGGGTCGAAATATAAAGAAAATCATTAAAGAATGTATGTTCAACAAATTTTTTTTGCTATCTTTCATGATACGGCGCAAATAATTCGAATGAATGATCTAGCAATGTTTTAAAGTGATAAAAAATCGTTGAAAATTACAAAAATTTACTATTTATTAAAAATTTATTTATTAAATTTTTCCAATTTATTAAATTTAAATTTTAATTTAATTAATTTAAATTTATTAAATTTAAATTTTATTTAAATTTTTTAAAAATTTTTAGATTTTTAATGAAATAATAATATTATAATTTCATAGAATGATAGAAGTGTCCTTCTACCTAAATTTTTTATATCTTCTCATATTAAATAAGAACATTCTTTGAATTTAGCAAACATTGCTTTTCATTAAACAAGCTTCGACCATTTCAAAAATCATTGAAATTCAAATTACTACGACAACTAACTCTCGAATAAAACTTCAAATTTAATAAAAAAGTTCCTAGGGTAATCTCTTATAACCTCTTTTAACTGCTCATAGTTAAGAGATAAATGTTAAATTAAAAGTTTTTTTTCTAATCAACACAGTTAATTCACCGATTTTTCTTCATAGGTGCTAAGAAAAATGTGAATGAAAAAAGAGAGAAATTTGACTCCATAAAACCCAATAATATTTTTTCGTTAGGCAATCGGTTCATCATCATTATATTCGACTGGTTGTATCAATGAAGTCTAAATCTATATCAAAATTTTTTCATCGTGAGAATAATTTTTTCATGAAAATTGGAAAAAAAAGTCATTAAGAAGAATAGAACAGAAATATTTGAAAGCACTAAGGATTATTTAAAAGTAAATTATCCATAGTTTTCATTCAGTTTAGTCGATTCTATAAATTGTTTATCAATTCCATCAATAAAAATTTATTTTTCATATAAAATAAAGGAGTCGAATTTATGGTTTTTGAGTGCTGTATTTAGATTATATTTTATTGAGAAGTTATCGCGTACGAAAACCAAAAAGATGAGGCAAAACTCAACACAATATGAGCGAAATATACGACCCCTGGCATATTTGTCTGCGCGACAAGTCAGCGGAGGTAGCCTAACAAGTAATGATGAGCTCATTAAAAAATATATCTGATCTACATGCTTAAAAGAAATATTATAAATATTGCTAAACGTTAGATTTGGTTGCTGCAACCAGCCGAATCTGCAGATTTTTGCAGATATTCTTTCCCGGACCGCAGAATGCTGAACATTAATTGACAAGAATATTTTATTTAAAAGCGGTTTTTTGCTTGGTAAGACAAATATGAACAATTTCGACTTCAGGCTAAGCGATTATTATAATTTCGCCATTATTTCTAATGTTTTATCTCCATGTCGGAACAATTTTTAAACAACTCATAAATTAATCCTAAATTCTTGATTTTGTATTAATTTTAGATATTTTATTCACTGTTTAGTTTTAGTTCTTAACACCAACAACATAAAACGTTAATTTAAAGAAATTACGAGTGAATTGAAGTGAAAGTTTGCCATTTCCTAGTTTAATAAATAAATTTGTATAAAATATGAGGAACCATTTAGAGTCAAATAAGCTATTGAAAGAATATGCTGAAATCAAAAAGATATGATAATATGAAACGCTTTCGGGTGACTCAGCTGCTCATGCTTCCAGAAATTATTTGATTGTATAAATTGCGTTATTTCTATGGATATCTGCTTACGTCAAAGAATCTGTGACGTCTTAGAAATTCGTTATGCATAACCACAAAATAGGCGGATCACTTCATTATATGGAAGGAAAAAATTTGGTGGAAGAAATCGAAAAAAGATCAAAAATAAAAGAATTATGAAATGATACTATTCTAAACAAAAATTTCATGTTTAAAAAAATTATTCATTTTAAAAAAAATAAAATAGCAAAAAACGGTTTCCACATTTTATTCATCACAAACCGATTCTCAGTTCTTTGGTGCTTCAAAAAAAGAGCGCATAAATATATTTTAGAGACCTTGGAAATGAAGAACCATGAAGATGATTGCGGTGTGACCAAGTTATGTAATATGTTTATGGCAATTACGGATCTCGTTTGATGCTTATTTATTATAAATTATCATCACGAATAAATTTTTCAAAACACTATTTTACATTTATAACGTTTTTGTCCGTGGTTATATTATATTTCGTTAATCCATAATTGTCCATTATAGCCATAAGAAAATCATATATTTTGTATATAAAATCATATATCTTAATCTTGCTATTTCTAATGTCAAAATTGATGTTAACTCTCAAGAGTGAGGGTTTGGTATAAGGATATATAAGGACATTGTTTGCCACAGGATTGTTACATGAAAATTAAGTGAGTAATGCAGATACCCAACTGCATGTCTATTTGAAAGTGCTCTAGCAAAGTGATCTCACCATATTAGCGAGTGGAGCCAGCCAAACCAGGAATGGCGAATTATTGGAAGAAAATTGATAATTATGCGATATGCGCATAAAAATGTATTAAAATGTATTATAAAATGTATTAAATGCATATTATGTGACGATTGCTCAGCAAAAAAATCGGTAATCGATGAGTGAAAAAATTGGAGGAAATTTTAACGAAAATCAAATATAAGAGAAATTCAGAGAAAAACCAGAAACTGAATAAAAAACTTTTATATAAAACAGACAAAAAATGGTTAACAATTTTTCAAAAAATTGCTTGCTAGCAAATTAATTGTTTCGCTGTTCGCTATATGACAACCGTTTAATAAATAATATTCAATGGGATTAATAAGATTTTTTCTTTTTGTCTTTCGCGGTTTTTTTATTTCCATTTTTATCTTTTCTTTCGTATGTACTCTTAGCAATAGTTGAACAAATTTTGGAAAAATTATCGTTTTTTTAGCGATAAATCGCAAAAAATGGACAATTTTTTCTTCGATAAAATTTTACAATTGTAAACAGAATATTTAATTATTTTATTGTTTATTATTTTTGAGATGACAAGGCTTTCAATTTTCACAGATTCACAGAACCAGAATTAAAGATTATATATTTTCTGTTCTTGCATTCGTTCGAGAAAAAGAAATACGCATTAAGCGTCAAAATTTTTCCAAATGATGATTTGAGATAATATATTAGGAAAAAAAGAGCGCAACGGGTAGTCAGTCGCCTTCGTTTCAGAGCGCATATGGTGAGATTTTGCTTCCAGCAGTAGTAGGTTTTTTCGAGAAATCGGCGGATGCTAGCAACTGACTTATCGCTAACTGACTATCTGGCAAAAGTTGCTTGATCCGACGAGTCAGCGGAGCGAATCTAATCAGAAATGCTCTTTGAAGAAAAAAATTACTCGCATTGCTTTTTTAAAAAAGTATCTTTGAAAACATTTAAACAAACTTGATGCTTACGAATTTGAACTTGTGATGTTTCCAGCAATTAAAAAGTTTATTTTATTCTCTTTTTACTTCTATAATCCCTTTAAATATAATGTTTTTTTTTTAAATAGGACAAATAAAAAGTACTAAAATGAAGATTGAAGATTTTTTTCAAATAAAATTCGCTCCAAATGAAAATTTTACATTCTATCTTAATTTTGCCAGTCCAAATTTTTCTAATAATATTATAGGAAAATTTTTTTGGAAATTTTTTAGAAATTTAGAGAAGTCTTAATTATCTTATCGGAGGAGTAGGAGTGTGGTAAAAATATGCAGCAAACGTCAAGAAAGAAAGTTAAATCCATAAATGTCCATTATGTCCATTATACATATTTAAAATTATATTAGCCGTGATAGAATAAACAATTAAGCAAAATATTGTAAACTAAAAACAGCGAGCTAAATGGTTAAAATTATATTTCAATAGGTGGAATTGTGGATGAGTAAAAGGTCTCAAGGTCGTTTTCAATATTCCGCTCCTCTCTTATCTCCTTCCTTTCATTAGGTCAAGCATAACTGATTTATTCGGTGCTAGATATGGTAAATAGATATGGTAGATATGGTAAATTTTCAGAAATTAATTTAAAATTAGAATTCTTTGAATGTAGAATGTAGAATTTAGAGAAAATTCGCCTATGTTTAACATTAAAAATGATAATCTCATCAATGTGTGGTAAAGTCAGATTTTCGATTATGACGAGTATGAATGGCTATTGTGACGCGTTCTGCTGGTAAATGATGAAAAGAAGTTATGAAAAGTGTAGGTCAGTACTGAAAATGATAGAGAAATTTAAAGTGTGGAGTTGCTACGAATTATTGAAATATTTATTTGTAAATTCTTTTTTAACAGCAACCGGATCGGCAAACTTTCATTTAACGCGATGAAATTTTTTTAAATTGATGAATCTGAATTTTTGAAAAAAAGTTTTACAATCCCGGAACTTTTTACTGCCCTGCTATGCCCGAATTTCACTTTAATTCTTATGCATAAGAAAGATTTTTATTGAATTTATATTTTGAAGAATAATTTCGTTTTTAAATCCAGTCTAAACATTGATGCAAATACTTCGCACTTTTATTCACTAATTCGCTCACTTCCAACAGAAGAGTATAGATTGGTAATTTCGTTTAATTTAGGAAGAAATTATGATACCGAAGAGATGAGGTGATTTTGATATAACTTAGTATCTAAATTAATATAAATTCTTGCAAATTATAAATGCAACTAACCACCAGTTCATTCTTACAAAACTTCAACAAAAATAAAATCTGAAGGAATTACATGAATTAATCCTACGCATTAAGTATTGGGAAAAATAGATGAACCATTTAACTTTATCCAAAATAATGAATACCAACAATGAATGAGGCACTGTATTTAAAATAAATAAAATAAACACATAATCAAGAAAGAGCGCCAATATTTTACTACTTCTATATTTTTAAAAATATTAATTGAAAATAAGATAAATTTTTGACGAAAGCAAAGCTTAACTGCGAATTTCATTACCAAGAATAGGTTCGTGCTGAGATGAATTCTCCGATTTTCGATATTTTCCATTCAGGTTTTTCCGCCTGAAAGATGAATTTATTTTCTATCAATATTAAAAATAATCAATATTGGCTTTAAAAATGTAAAATAATCACTTGAAAACGTCTGTTTATCGTTTAAATTATTTATATTCAGAAATTTACCTTTCCCATTTCTCGACATTGTATGTCTTATAACGACTGAAAATGGAGCACAAATAAATTATAATAAATAATAATAGTATAATTATTGCAATAACAATCAGAGGATACATCCAGCGGTATGAACCTGGAAGAATTCATATTTAGTTGGTTAAATTAAATTAAATTTAATTTAAAAACTTAAATTTTGGAATAACTGGTTCTAAGGCAGTTGCAAGTAGATAGATTCAACAAAATTATTTTATTTATTCTTGAAATTCATCGGCAAAACATTTGGTTGAATAATATAAGAAAATCATTTGATGTTCATAAAATAAAAATAACAAAATATTGCAAGAAGGAGGGGAATTCGTCTTACTAATGACTCTGAGGTCTCGATCTAAACGAGATTGATAGGTATTCTGTACTGAATCTGGCCCGCTATGATCGTAGAAAGTGTTTTGAGCAATGCAACTGTATGTGCCTTCGTCATCAAACTCAATTTTCGTTATTTGAAGACTCTTGTCTAGAAATGTTATTTGTTCTGTCGATGCTGAAACATTGTTTTTCAAATTATTCCTCTGGTATTTTCACTAATATTTCTATTAAGTTTCATTATTTGCAAAAATATGTATTACGTTATTTCATGATGAATTTAACGAGCAGAATTAATAAGCGAAAAAAAAAAATCTGTTTTACAATTATAGTTGCAAAAAAAAAAGAATATTTCATACATACCAACTGGAACATCATCTTTGTACCACTTAATAGATGGTTCTGGGAACCCAATTACGGGGCAATCTAGCAAGACGGTTTCGCCCTCAGTTGCTCTGATCGAAGGGGCTTTTAAATGAAAACGGTCATCGTCGAATATTTCGAAGGCTTTCGTCCTATTGCTATGGAAGACTGGCCGCACTTAAAACTTTGATCAACTATTTTAGATTAAATTTTGGGAGTTTTTGTTTTTGAGATTTTGAAATTTGAAAAAATATTCAAAAAAATTATGTACAAAACGCAAATGCTAAATGGCTAAAAAAATAAATATACAAAAACTTGAATTATTGCAAGTAATTTACGGTAATAGAAAAAAACTCGACAGCTAGACGGTATGACTAATTTAAAAAAAAATGTAGAATATAGATAAAAAGAAAATAAGTAAAAGAAAAGAACTGGAAATTGAGTCTGTTGTTCTACAGCAATAAGAGAGGTAAAGCTAGTCTCGAATCTCCAGATTGGTAATTGATTAACTTGTATCAATCACTGATAAGAAAGAACAGTTAATTTAGTTAACAGTTAGTTAATTTAGAGTTTTAAGGAGAAGTATATGGAGTTTCCAATAGGTACAGTTGGTTTCAAAGAAGTGAGGAGAGAGAAGCTTCAGGAAACTTTAGGGAGCTAGAACTATAGCGGATTTTGTTAGGAAATATAAAGAGTGTAAAGAGATTTGAATGTGTGTGTGTAGAATAAGGAAATATATAAGAGTCTGAGTGAATGTTAAGAATAAGGAAGTAGAACGAAATCTCCAAGATGTGATAAATCAACATAAAGGGCATATAAAAAAGGCAAAAAAGATGTGAAGAATTTTTAAGAGAGTACAGCAAGATCAACCATTTCTCGACCGCTTTTCCGCAAACTTCACATCATAAATTGCTTCTTAGTACCAATGTAAACAAATTACTATATAGATCGTGCAATTAATTACTAAACCAAAAAAAATTACTTGCACTTTTAATAACTGAATTAACTGAATTAACAAACTATTTATGAATGACCATCCCCAAGCATGATGACCATCGATTGTTTTGATATCACATCGATATCTGCCAATACTTGTGATAGGAATCAATCCCAATACCAACTTTGCTCTTGTATTGTTAACTACAGCAGGTATAATTTCTCGATTCGAATATCGGACGAAATAAGCATTTTTTATAGGCAAAAGACCAACACCACTTTTTCTAGCTTGGCACCTGAATTTCTTGATTAAACAAGATAGTTCATTAATTTGAGATTATTCATTTCCAATAAATTCAATCTCGCAAGCTTTTTCTTCCGATTCTGCTAACTCGTGTATTTCTATTGCCAAGTGGCATAATTTGTCTGCTTCGACAAGAGAGCGGAATAAGTCTAACCAGAAATGGTGAATACATTTAGAAAAAAAGTCTCTCAGAATTATGATTCTGATGAGTGAAAAATCATCTTTCGATAATATTGCGAGGAAATTCTCGAGAAATGACCAAGAAATTACAGCTTCAAGATTGCAGAAGCCAGCTAACACTATAAAACGGCCGACATTTTGATTTCATACCAATGAATACGTAAAAAATTTTAAAAATGAAAACAACGAGAAAAAAAATTCGCAAGAAATATTAAAATAATTCATTAAAAGGACGAGAATGAACAATATAAAAAGGGAATAAAAATTAAATTAACATAATATCAAAAATGAAATAAATAAATATAAAAATGAGATATCACAGTTTTCTCGAACCATTTTTTCATAACTCTCTCGTTTTAATTTTCGTGGTCACTCTAAGTGTTAGGTAAAATATAATTAAATAATTATCCCGTTAGTACTTATTATCTCTACTTTGAATGACCCCAGTATCTACTGGAGAATTTTGGATAAAGAACGGTGCATAAAGGTGTAGATGGATTCTTAGTATGGATTTCACCCGAAGATATATTCGTAAAAATATTTTCAAATGTATTTCAATCTGAACTTAATATCCGGAAAAAATGTAGGATGACGATTCTCATTTAAAGGTATTACAAGGGCCTAAATCAGTACTGGTTAGACTCGCTACCTGTCGGGCCAGATAAATTTTGCCAGAGGCATGTGACGACAGACATGGGTGAACCACCAGCATCACCCGTATTTTTAGCAGGTTTACTACTGCCCGATGCAGAATCTCTGCGTTCTCAGCATCTGCGTTCCAAACTGGACAGCAACCCACTGAGCCATTCTACATCCCTTTTTCACTTTCGCGTTGGCGACATTAACGCTTGACGAAATGTGATGTGTCGGCTGGATTTATTGAGCTTGAGCTATTCTCGATTCTTGTTGACTAGCACCTTGTCATTATTAAACATCGACCAGTAACATCGACGCATCACGATTAAACAGAAATATAAAATATTTTTTTTAGAAAGCAGGATTTAAGACATATGATTTGCATTGTAAAAAATGTAATTTTTTGTAATAAATGTAATAAAAATTTATCTTAATTATCACCATTAGCTCGAAATTTTAAAGATATAATGGATATTAGAATTGCATCACTGGAAGTTTTTTCACGCAAATTGGAATTTCAGGATTATAAAATTTCAGAATTATTTATTTTTAATTTACAATGACTTTGTTAAATAAGCTATTAAATAAATCTAAAAGGAAGAAACGAGATAAAAGTCAAATAAATAGTGAATGTTTCCAGTAAAATGATAAAAAATTTAAATACCCGACCGAAATAATCCTATTACTAGTGGACTGTTTATTTTAAAGTTAATGGAATACTGTCAATTTCATAGTTTTCATAGTTTAGATACAATGTACAAGGTATTATTATAAAGAAGGCTCATCTGATGACGTCAAAGAAATTCGACTGGTTATTATTTAAACTTACCACAAATTGAGAACTTCTGCTTTCTGTGGATGATCATCAGTGGATTTTGCTGATTTTGCCTCAAAAGTGACCTCGAGATTTCCTTGGGCGTATACACCGTTTTCTGACTTAACCGATCGAGTCAGAAAAACTAGAGAATTGTATCATTAGGCAATAACCGCTTATTTAGTTTAACGAATACAAAAAGACCAATAGGGCATGATGCCAATTGCTGGTGCCAAAAAATATTCAAATAAAAGATGAAAAAAAGATAATAACAAGGATAGCAATATACAAAAACTGAATTGAAATTGTGTTACCCCCTTATTATAACTGTTATTAAATAATATTGTGAGTAATATAGTTTTACGTTAAAAGGTGCACAAAAGAATAGATCAATAGGCAATTTATTACGGAAATGTGGTGCGAATAAAATTATGACCTCTCAAATGAGTTCTAGCTTCAATATTTTCAATTCATCAGATCTAGTAATATTCGAATTTAAATCCGATTTTTAAAATTGTTTCTTGCAATCCAAGTTAATATGACCGTTAAGATTTTACGAATTATAAAAATTAGATCCTATATGATTCTTTTAAAACATGGTGAGTCTAAAATAAATAGCTCGAGTTTTATCAAGCTGTTATAAATCGTGAATAATGTCTTATAATGTATTGTCTTACAATGAAATATACATAAATTGCCTTGTTTATAATGTAATTGTCATATCGTACTAGACAAATGAACAATAGATAAATAAATCCATTTGTCAAAATACAAAAATTTAACTTCAGTCACATTTTCTAACTTTATAACGTGCTTATCTTATACGAACCAAATCACGTTCTCGTTCTTTGTTCTCGTGAAAGCACTTCACTTCCTTAGTCATTTAGTTTACTTTAACTATTATTCAGGCAGAAGCAGTACTAAATAAAAAGACTTACAAATTAGAAGCACAATTAGTTTTGACATGTCGTTTATCTGGTTTTCATTATCGAATAATCAAGTGGCGAACATAGCGATAAATATAACGCTGAAATTTGATTAATTTAGCGAATGAATTATAAAAGCTGGGATAAACGCGAATAATGTAACACCATTGCATTCGTACAATTATAAACACGAAAAGTACGAATGAAATAACTAAAAAACCTGAAAAAAAACTTTGTAAATCTTCGCAGTTCATTTAATTATAGCTATTTTAACTGAATATTATTTTCCTTTTAAATTTTATTTTATAACTTTTCACAAAAGAAAAATTTTTTTCTAATTTATTACAAAAAAAAGAAAGACGAATGAAGTAATTAAATGGAAAATTTTCTAACAATCAAGCGAAAGTGGGAAAAAACTTTTATTTTTTTAAAGAATTTTCAAGGACAACTACTAAACTGAATTAAGAATTTTGCAATCGCTAGGTACAAACTGGAGAATTACATCGAAGAAGACAGCAAATATAAAAAATGTGTATCACACCATAGCATTAAAGGGATCGAATTACATAAAGGAATGAAATGGAAAGAAAAAAATTGATAGATTTGAATTCACAAAGGTTTTTGCGATTTGCATAAACACAAGAAAAAGGTTTCAATTTTGTTCAGAAATGGATCCCATAGTAGATATATCATTTATTAAATGCAAACCAGCTCAAAAAATTCAAAATAAAAAACTTCCTTTCAAACTTGATTTGAGCCTGCTGGTATAAAATATTTATTTATTTAAATCAACATTAACTTTATTCTCAATTACTTTATATTTTATTCCTTAAATAATCTCTGTTACTAGTTAAAATTTGTTGAAAAAGGCTAATAAATTTTTGTTCTGAACTTCAATGCTATTTCTCGTTTAAGGTGAATATGAACTCTCAAAAAAAGGAATAACAAATAATAAGGTTGGTAACAAACGCTGCATAAATCATCGAGATTTTCCACAACCTTCAATTCAACCAAACATTGAATGAATTTCAAAAATAAATTTAAAAAAGGCAAAATAAAGCAAATATGTGGGCTATAATGAGAAATGTAAAAATTTTCCCCGAAAATACTATATGAAGAGTCAAAAATAATAATATAAAATACCATTATGAAATCGTTTTAGATTGATATGATGGTTATAATTTAGAAGCAAAAAGCAGGAATAACAGATATGTTTATGTATGTGCAATCGATGTGGTATCTGAATCATTTTCAACGTTGGTAAATTTACCTTTAATAATAATTGTCATTCGAATGAAGAGATATGTTGCTTCGATTGAAGACAACTATTATTGGTTGCTATTCTTGCCCTTTGATAAAAGAAAACCTGTCATTAAAAGTGAAAAGGTGCTAGGGATACCACCTACCAGCCATTTTTTTGGCGGAACGGTCTTATCCGTTATAATCAGCAAAATCAACCGAACAAAAATGACAAAGTGTAATTTAGAAAGCCTTACAGTTCTTTCTGAGATATCAATGGCTCAGTGGGTTGTTGCTAGATTGGGAGCGCCGATGCTGAGGTTCGATTCCCCGCAGGAGTGAACCTGTACAAAAATCCGGGTGATGTTGGCGACTCACCTGATTTCTATCGCCGAAGGACTCCCTGGCATATTACCCAATGTGGCAAGCCAGTGGAGCGAGTTTAGCCAGTAATGATGGGGATTCTTTAAAAAAAAAATTCTCAAGAACAGCCCCTCATAACTTTTAATTTTTTATATCCCGCTTCACATAAAATTTTTATCGACAAGTAAAAAATTTATCTAATAAATCAATGTGTTAGCCATGGATAATAAACTGAAAGCTAAACTATTTAAATAAAGGAATTTATTAGTGGAATTTATAGTAAAATCTATACTGCATCTCACATATAAATGGAATATTTCATGAAAAAAATAATAAAAACTCTTATTTTTTACATTTAATCTTTAATTTGATTTTAAATTTAAACTGATTCAAGGAATTCCAGTTGTAAAGAAAGTTTAGAAAGAAAGCGATAAATGAACAGCTCAACTATGGAACAAGAAAAGTCGCAAATGAAATATCAAAATCGTAAAACTACGACTTATAAACTCATTCTCAAGAACATTAAACTCATAACGATAAATTTTAATAAAGGGGATGGATATTTGCAATATCGATTCATGTATTGTTCAAGAACGCTTGAGGACATAAAACTTCTCTTAGAATCTCTAATAAGCAAAAAAAATTTTGACGAAACGGTTCTAACAAAAAATGCTTGAAAAATTGTTCATTATAAGAGTCAAATAAGAGATGAAGCTTGCTTGAATGAAATTATCAACGATCTAATTTATTGGACACCATATCTTCAATTCCTCTTCTTCCCGAATCCCAAAACAACAAACCAGCAGCATAGAAATATCATTTGATCTACTGAAAGGTCAAAAAAAAGATTTGAACTGAAACGAGGAATCAGCTCGAGAGACAATTATGAAGTATCGGAATGTTCATAGAAATAATGAAAAATTGTTAGAAAAAACGATGCAAATAGTTCAAAAGATAAGTGGGAAATAATAATATGGTTCTAATCAACCTTTCAATACCCATGTTTGGAAATTCTGTGATAAAGTTAAGGGAGGGAACACTAATAGGTTCTTCGACCCTCTACATTGATAACTTTTTATTTTTATTATTTGGACGTTTTGATTAGCAATTATCACTAGGCAAACATATGGCGAAGCTAATCACGCTAAGACTTTCATTAAATATTACCAATGGATATTACCATTGAATATATTAATATTAATATTATAATGCTTAAAATTTTTAATCATCCCAACTGATGAAATTAATTTCGCTATATATATGGGGCTTAGCAATTCCGCTATACATATGGGACTTAGCAAGCCGACTTAAAGCATACAAAATATAAATATGCATCCGCATCAATAAAATTGAATGCAATTCGAAATCATATTATTTGCTGGATTAAACTGATTTTCATGAATTCAGAACAGTGCGTTTCTCTCACATCTCATAACTCCTCTTTTATTTTTTGCTATCGAGTGACTGCAAAATATAGTAAAAACCAACTGCATAAAAGGAATGTCTAACGTCGATGTTGATAGTTATTGAAGAGATGAGATTTTCATTGAAATTTTCAATGATAAATGTTCAGGTGAGCCGCAGAACGACGATTATTTTCGACATTTCTTTGAGCGAATATAAAAATAGATTGGTATAGCTCAAGGCCATTTAAGATTATCAAGAAAAAGTGCGATTCTATTTAAAGAAAAGAAAAATATGAAAAAAATTATTAGGATGGTGCATCTGCACATTCTATGTTTACGATTCTCGCCCATTAAAATCACTGTTAATCAGTTTAGAAATGAAACACTAAGTTCGAAAGTTCGACCTCATACGAAATAAACTAACGCATATGCACGGGAAACCGATTATATCAAAAAGTAACTGGAATTAATCTCAATACTTTGAGCAGAGATGCAAATCCAGCGAATCCTATGGCGATGAATATTGAATATGAATAAAAAAATTACTAGGATAAAAAATTATAAAAAAAGAAAAATTTGCATTTAAAAATCCATCCATGGTAAATAGCGAAAACAGGCTCAATTTAAAATATTTTAAAATGTACAATAACAATAATTGAATAGATCCAACAATTTTTTTATACCAGAAATTTAAAAACTATATTGAAGAGATGATCATTCATTTTCCATTGTCGACTTGAAGACTTCAAGATGATAATTTTAAATTTTCGCCATAATTTTTAGTATAAATATATCAATTTAATAAAAAATTTCAATATTAATATCTTAAAATATTAATTTGCTCTTTTCCATTTATTTATTTATTTGGAAACAGTAGCAAAACAGAATCAATTAAATCCATAAGTTTATAAGTTTGTATATGTATTAGAAATAATAAACACAAAATGAAGCGAAGTGAAATGATGTTAGGCAAATACTAAAGAAGTACTTATAAGTGGGGGTAGATGCTAGATTTCTGCTCCCAGCAAGAGTGAACCTGTCTTTCAAAAATTCGAGTGATGCTGACGACTCATCTATATCTTCACCTCACTTCTATCGCTAAGTGCCTTCTTAGCAAAATTTTGTCTCATAGGCCAGCGGCGCGAGCCTAAGCAGCAATGGTGAGCGCTCTTAGAAAAAAGTACTTATGGGTTAAAATCTTTAAAACAGCTAGATGATTCTGTGAATAATTTACGTCAATTTTCTTTTAGAACAATCATTGGATTCCAACAATAATGGTTTTCTCCTGTGCGGAAAGATAATAATGAAATAGGAAATCTTTAAGATATGAAAATGTGGAATTAAAAGGAGATACCAATTTCAACTTAGCAATACATAGACATTCTAAAGGAAAAAGGCTCTAGTTTATTAAAAGAACAATCGAGTTAAGCGAATCTGTATGATCTGGAATTGTTTTTATTGCATTTATTTAGAAACCGTTTATATATTAAAAGTAATAACCAAGCAGTTATTGTAAACACGATGATAATGGTAAATAAATAAATGTAAATGAAGTGCTTCTAACTAAGCTAGTTCTAGCTCTGTCTGTTGGTGCAGTTAGAAAACCAGAAAGTCGCTTGGTGATAAAAGTAAAAGTGGATCATCTATCACCGCAATTTTTCGATGGTTTTCTCCTGCGCGGAGAGGCAAAGCCTCATCTCTCAACAGAATAATTTGCGTAAATTAAAAAAAAGATCAATCAAAATATTTAAACATTCAAACAGTCAATTAAATACATGTTGATATAATATGGTCGAATTGAAATGTCGAATAATATGGTATTTTTTCATACTTAAAACTTGGGAACAGCGAGATTCACGATCAGTTTTTTGAAGAGATTTTTCTCCTGCCTTTACCCATTTTCAATGAAAACCTGTGCAAAATGGTTTTCATACCTAATTTTCTTTATT